AATGGGGGCGGCGAGAAGCGGCGCGGGCGAGCGATGTGCTGGCTGCGGCTTCTCGACGCCCCCCTTGGCCCGGGACGGCGAACTGCGGCCACTGGGGGCCGCGATCATCCGAACCTGCCGCGTCAGCAGGTAAATAAAACTGGCCCAGCCCGCCAGGGTGCTTACCCTGGCGAACCGCGTGCTGAACGTTGCTGACCCCTGTTCTACAACTACCACCTAAATATTGATCTATGAAGTGCCAAATTAAAACAAAGTAAAATGAGGGGTAAATATTGCTGTCATTGGAATTCATCATTTACGCAAATGTGTATCAATACAGCAAATCACACAGTACCTAGACTGTCAGTTTAAATGTGCAGTTATATTGATTGTATTAATGCATATGAATCAAAGTCTAGATCTGAAGTCTCAGATTTGGAATAAATTTTAAGTATAATGTAATATTTTACCAACAGCTATACTGCTCGACTTCCTACATATCTGAAGGTAAATGCAGGATAGCTAATCATTAAAGCAGATGATACAAATTATCCTTTGAAACATTTATCAGCTTTGTTCCTGTTTTCCCATTAAATAGTATACAGAAGCTGTTAAGTCATTACACAGGATGTAATGCAAGTATGTTGTTCCAAATCTCAGCCTAAACTGCTAAAATCTCATGAATTTTTGGCAATGATCTATCCCTTCTAAGCCTGTGGTGTTTAAGCTCAGCTATGAAAAGTGTTTATGGTGCTGCCCCTCCAACTTAATGATCGATTATACTTTTTGTTTAACCACCACATTCACTAGAATTGGGATTTCTTTTTTAAAATGAAAGTAAAATCTCTCCTATGAAGAGCTAAAATTGTGCAAAACAAAGTATCTCAGCAGTAATTCTCAGCTGTTCTCAGAATGCAATTTAACCATAGTTTCTCACCATCTCACTTTCAACAAGATCTGCTTAACGCGAAAGCTCTCAAATACTAAAACTGTACAGCGCAAGTCCTGATTTAAGATTTGTTCTTAATCCCCTACAGCAGAGTAGATAAATATCAATATTCTTTGTTAGCTGACACTATATTGTTGTGCTCAACACTCAATAGGTACGTTTCCAGACTGAGCAGAGTATGTTGCAAACAGGCTGAAAGATACAATACATCTTCAAGGGAAAAATTCACATTAATTTGCTGTCAGCCTTAAATGCATTGATGATGAAGTTTTCAAAAGCACTTTAAGTGATTTAGGGCCCAGATTTTTAGAAGTATTTAGGGATTGCTTCACTGAGCATTGCAATGCCTAATTTATGAGTCTAGATCTCTTGGAAGTCAATGATACTAAGGGTCCTAAATGCCTATGTTATTTTTGAAAATAAGAGTTCAGCTCCTAATTCAGTTAGGCGTTGCAACACTGAGTGGAGCAATGGCCAAATACCTTTAAAATCTAGACCCTGAAGATGCACAAGTCTTACGGTCTTTGAACGTGACCTAGATGCTTTTGAAAATCCCACTCTTAAGAATTTGAACTCTGCAAACTTTCTTCAGTTATGTGTATTGCCTAGTACTGGTTTCAGGACATTTCTGTTTTTAATTATGTTTTTTTAAATGTGAATTACTCTAAAGGTGGAATGTTAATAGCTCATATAGTTACACTGCAGAAATCTTGCAGGACAGACTTTACAGTGGAGGGAAAAAAAACTACAAAAAATACATACTCAGATAAAGTGTAAGGGCAGGAAAATACATTTAAACTGATCACTAATAAAATAAGGAGCCGTGGTGTTAATCAACAAATTCAACTGCGGATGTAGCAAGGACGTCGATATTGAGGACAAGTCAGATACTTGAAGATACTGTGAGTTCCAGGAAGTTCAACTGAAACTAGTATTTTAAAACTCAAACTGAACCCTAAAAAATGTAAACAAACTTCAGGATAGGTAGAGCTTGCCAAGATTAGTTTGTCTTAACCTTGTTAGGAAATATTTGTAAATTGTTTGGGTGCAAATTTACCAGCTGAGAGGATGTTATTGTTGGGATAGGATGTGAGGGACAGAATCCTGTGCACTGCAGCACCCTGTGTCAGGCAGGAAGTTAGGAAAGTAAAATGTAATCTCAGTGCAGAGAACCAAAGTTGAAATATCAAGTATTCACTTTTCATTCTCAGAAGTTTTTACAAGATAGCCAGAAGAACGTGAGAGTCACATTAGATATGACAAACCAATTTTAAAACATTCCTACATTAGGAATTTTGTAAAGAGAATTTAAGAATTCTGATTAAACAAACATCTTCAAACCCCTTCCTGTAGCCAAGTGCTTACTCCATTCCTGTGATCACAATCTACAGTACTAGAGTCAAATACAATGAAATGGAAATAACTCTCCTTCCTTTGACTTCATGCGTCTCCCACATATGGTATTAGCAGTGCTGTACTATAATCCACATAGAGAAAGATTATCTCCAGCCCAGTCACTAGGTTATTGGGTTAGTGTGAATGGAAGCAAAGCCCTTCTCAGGTGAAGACACCTTTCTCCATTATAAACTTGCACCCCAAGTAGTTAAAAGGTCTGTTAAGTTTTATAAAACCAAATATAGAATATAAATTCAAGGCTTAACCTGTTTTGTATAAGTGTTCTTATGAAAATAGTTTAAATTCTACTTAATAGTCTTAAGGAATCATATGATAAAAGAAACATTAACCCCTTACATTAAAATTAGGATAAAAAAAAGAAGATATGACTTGTTTAGGCTGTGTATTTATTCTTTGCATTTCTCTTAATTTGAGCAATGAAAAGAATCAAAGGAGTTACAGTTTTGTATACAGTACTTCAGTTTCATACTATCTGGAATGTTTAAAGATTGTTCCCATTTTAAAAATTCTAGAAACATTGGTTAGCTTTACGTTTTTAATAAGAGCCTGCTTTTACAAGATGTAGATGTAAGGATAAATTAGGGTTGACATCATCTCTTCAATGTACAATGCTTTCTAATTCCAAAGAACCATGAAGTGCCAGTTACTTACCAATTTTCACTATCCAAGACAAATGAAAAACAAGAAAATTGGGATAAAGTTATTTTAAAGCCTTTTCAGCTTTAACTTAAGATGCTACTTTTACCAGACCTAAGGAGAGTATTAGTTTGCTTTGACTGGGATTTCTCAATTGACAGTGTGCCTTTAACATCAGACGTGGTCGAGTCACAAACCCATAAAGGGAAAGTCTCAAGAGGAAGGAGTGAAAGCACCAATTCTTGGAACATTTTAGGGCTAGGTTTGCTAAAGCCCTGGGGAACAGAGATCTAACTAGATCTGCTCCCATCAGATGTGGGACGGTACACTATAATGTCTTCCTGCATCCCAACTCCTTTGCTTGTAGTCTAGGGATGTCACATTCCTAACTCAACTGTTGCATTTTTCTGACCAATACAATATTGCAGAATGCGCTTTCACTTTAAAAAAAAATAAAAAGTTTCCAACTCTGTTGCAAAAATAACCTTGCAATGATGGACAGAAGTATTGCTCCTGGCCTGAAACAACAGCATTGTAGGAAGAGTAACTGTCCCTATTAATCTCAACAGTGCACTCTAACTCTGAAACTTAACAGTGGCAATTTTAAAGCCAGATGTTCAGGCCTCATTTGAGTGGGTGCAACTAGGTGCGTGACAGTCCCAAGGTCAGTAGTGGGGAGTAAAGTCCAGTGTGGCTGGAGAATAACTTCATAAGCCTGGCCCACTTATCTTAATTAAAATCTAACCCAGTTCTCAACACAGTGAGGAGGTGAAACCCTCCTCCAGCCTAATGCACTAAGGATGAAATCCCTGGCCCCACTAAAGTCAATGGCTACTCTTTGAGGTGGAGGCGTGATTTCCATTTTGGGGAGCCAGACCCACACTAGCTCTGACTGGACTTGGGCCCTAAAAACGTAAGTGTAGTCAGGATGGGCGCCAGTAGTGGCAGAAGCTGGCTTCCTAAGTATGAGCAGGTGGGATCGTACTCCAGCAGCTAACCTATCCCACCACTTGCATGGCCACAGCTACACTTTCAGGGTATGTCTACACAGCAAAGAAAAAACCGCAGCTGTCCCACTCCAGCTGACTGGGGCTTATGAGGCTGTTTCATTGCTATGTAGACTTCCACACTCAGGCTCTGGGACCCTCCAACCCCACAGGGTCCTTGAGCCCCAGGCTCCTACCCAAGCCCAGACATCTACACAGCAACGAAACAGCTCCCCACCCCAGAAGTCAGCTGGCACAGGCCAGTGTCTAGTTGCTGTGTAGACCTCATCAGTTTCATCACACTGGTTCAATCAGAGCTAGCAAGAGTGTTTGGCCTCCAGCCAGAAATGACACCTCCATCTCAACACGTAGAGATATCCAGTGGCAAAAGTCCCACTGACTTCAACAGAGCCAGGCTTTCACCCTCACCCCCTTCCTTTCCCTAGAAGGGAGATTCCACCTGTCGCCCTCTCCCTCCGGCTCTCCCCTCTCTCAAGGGGAGGCTGCTGCATTATTGGCCAGGCTCTGCAGGTAGAAAGATGGGGAAGCGTGTTGTTACCTGCATGTCCCGTCCAGGAGGCGGCCGCTACCTGCTGTCCCCCTCCCGGGCTCCGCCGCCGGGCTCGGCACTGGGCTGGTAGGACAAGAGGCTCATGGCTTCGCCGCAGGCGGCCTCCACCTGGCGCACCTGCTCCTGGCTGAGCCGCTCCCTCCAGGCGTGGATGGCCTCCCGCGCGTCCCGGGCGGAGATGAGGAAAGGCCGGTCGGAGGAGTAGGCGGCGCCGCGGGTCATGTTGAGCACGAAGCTCTCCATGGCGGGCGGGACGGGCAGGCCGGCGAAGCGCAGCAGGCGGCGCAGCTGGGCGCGGGGCTCCAGCACCAGGTCCTCGTAGCGCAGCTGGGTGTGGCGGCGGCGCAGCCAGGCCGGGGCGCGGCGGGAGAAGAGCAGGTCGCGGAGCCAGGCCTGGCAGATCACCTCCAGCGCGCCGCTCAGGAAGAACTCGGCCCGGTGCTGCTGCTGCGCCCGGATCCCGCCGCCGCCCAGCCCGGCCGCGGGCAGGAGCTGCCGGTGGGGGAGTCCCCGGGGCTCGGGGCGGTGCCGGCTCCGCAGCACCTGGATGCTCTCCCGCAGCAGCGCCTGCTTGGCCTTGAGGCGGGAGTTGTGCACGGCGCGGGGGTCGCGGAAGAGCTGGATGACCCGCAGGTTGAGGCCGGGCTCCCGCAGCAGCGGCAGCAGCGCGCCCAGCTCCAGCAGCCGCACGTCCTTGATCACCACCACCGGGTACTTGCGGCACTCGGCCTCCAGCTCCCGCAGCCCCCGCGGCGGGCAGCTCCGCTCGCAGGCGGCGCCGTCGATCAGGCCGATCTCGTGGCGGGTCTGGGGGGCGTCCGGGCAGAACGGGGCCGAGCAGATCACTTTGTTGGTCCGCCAGCCGAAGAGGCCGGCCGTGGTGAGGTTGCCGCCGCCCGGGGCCAGTGGGTCCCGGGGCGCGGGCGGGGCGGCGTAGAGGCGCAGCACGGAGAAGTCGCAGCGGAAGAGTGAGCGGAGCATGTCGCGCAGGGCGCCCTGCAGGCTGAGCGCGTCCGCCGGGTACAGGGCCTGCCACAGGTGCCACATGGGCTCGTACAGGTAGAAGACGTCCGGGTGCTGGTTGAACAGCTCCCCCAGAAAGGAGGAGCCCGTGCGCCAGGTGGCGTGCAGGTAGATGTGCCGCTTCGCGCCGCCGGCCGCCTCGCTCCCGTCAGCCGCCGCCCCCTCGCCCTCCGGGGGCTGCTCCTCCTCCTCCTTCCTCCCAGCCCCACTCGCCCAGCACCTCCTGCAGGCTCGGGCAGCGGGGCTGCAGCGGCGCCTCCTCCGCCCCGCGCCCCCGCCTGGCCCCGTAGTCCTGCACGTAGGGCACCAGGAGCAGCAGCAGCAGCGTGTAGAGCACCAGCAGCAGGGCGAGGCGGCGGTGCTGCCAGCGCCACCGCCGCCCCTTCATCGCCCCGCCGCGCTCTGCTGCCGGGCAGCGGCGTCTGCAGCCAGTCGCCGCCGCCGCCCGCCCTGTGCTTGGGCTCTGGCTGAGCCGCCGCCGCAGCAGCAGCAGGGAGAGTCCTGCCTGTTG